ACCGTGCTGTCTGTAATCACAACCTGAAGTGCTTCTTTGATGTTTCACAACTCTTGAACGGTAGATGCCTGTGCTGTCGGGGGATTTTCGAGAGAGTTAAAAAGCTGTTTGATCCCAGATCATCCATCTGTCAGAAATCCACTCTGCCAGCCCCCTGAGTCATCAAATAACCAAGCCAAATGATGCAAGACTGTGTCAGCAGAGACATAAACGTGGGTCCAAAAGCTATATCTATGCCCGTCCCACTTGGCCAAATCTTGTGCCTAATGATCCTAATGTGTTGACATCCAAGGTAAGTGCAGAACAGCCTTCTTTCGACACCACTTCCCTGATGAATGATATCTTATGGCTGAAGGTTAGTTTGCAAGCGGCAACATCGGACGGACCAATTCACCCTAGCAGCAAGAAGCCTGAGTAATTGTTCCTCATTAAGCAGTCTCCACGAACCCGTCCGTGCCTTGGCATTGTCCGGCCACCCGTGCACAAAAAGAAGCACGACGCTAGATTGGGCATGGCCCACATCCTGAGGTTTCGCCGCCCGGCACACCGAACTCAAATGACGGAAGAGAACACGGCAGTGCAAGCTTTGCGCTCTCACAACTCGGACATCGAGTGGCAGTGCAAAATTTTCCACATACCCAAGACCCATCCAGGAGCACCCTGAGGCTTCCAAGACAATCCCCTAAGTCCACAATGAATGCACCATGCACCAAGCAATAAAACCCCACAGCCAGATCAAAGGCAAAGTCCACAAACAAACCTGACCTAAAATGCTTGATGGATAACCTCCGGAAGCCTGTCATGTCATGCGCGCACACACACACACATCGATAGACTTGGTGCTCCGAATCCATCCAGACAACAACTCTTCCCGAGAGACAGCGATCCGAACCCATCCGGCAAGCTAGCAAAGTTACAGTATAGTTGTGCTTGCTGATTCTCTGTAGCTCGCACTCGAATTGCAAACATCGACATGAAAGGAAAACCGATGCAGAAAAATCACTCGAACTTCAAATGCAGCGACTGAAGACAGGGTGAGAGGTTGTGGTTGTTTTGGAGCTATGTAGGGTTTTGAGGTTCTTCAGGCTCTAGGGTGGGTACGGTACGGGTTATTGAGGTTTGGGTGGTTGTTTTCCATGGGTTTAGGTATAGGTTTGGGGTTGTTGATCGCTCGTGGCTAGCGCCGTGCGACCCCGTCACCACGCGGAGGAAGCGTGCCAATTTGGCAAAGGGTCGATGGCAATAGGAAGTCGGCGGCTGGCAGCTTCTGTCACTGTCAAGTGATTTTGCATATCTTGATTTTCTGGCTGGTTTGGTACATTTGCACTTGCCTCTAGCAGTGTCTCCTTGCCGCGCCCAGAGCGCAGCCAGCCCTACAGCTGCAGCTGCGGCCAGCGTTCTCAGTGGCATCCAGCTGCCATTGCGTCTTCACCGTGGCTTTTTGGAACTTAACTCTGTGCTTGCCTGCTTCGGTTTCATATATGGTTGCAAAGGGATGTGCTGAACGGTCTCTGCTTCTGCGAAGTGCAACTGCATCTTAGCTGAAACCCGGCATTCGACTCATCCACGGGCAGCTCACGGCCTCCGCCATGCTCCACACTTGCAACTGTCCCAACAAGCGGTTCTTCACTTCACAGGCTTCTGGCTGCTGCTCCACGCCGCACTGACGGATTCTAGATTCTAGTACTTGGAAACCCATTTCCCTGCAAGAGCCGTGCCTCCGCCTGAACGCCGCTGGCACCTGTCCCCCACACTTATGAGTGACGAGACTGCTGCATCCACAGCTTAAAGGGGCATGCTGAGCGAAGGCCCGCAACACTGGGGAATCAGATGTTTTGTCCGAACGATGGACATCTTCGAAACACCCAAATGCACACGCGCGGTTCGGCGACGCCTGCTTGAGACCGTGCAGTGGGGCCATGCGCGACGTCCCTCCGCTCCCATATAATATGCTGTCTTATATGTCTGTTGAGAATTGTGTGCTTTGCAATGGATGGACACGCCAAGCCGGCTGCTGATTAAGTACGACTGCCATCCACCCGGCTCGAGCCAGCACGTGAGCATATCACAGTTGCTCAAAAACCACTGGCAGCAGGAGTCGCTGCATCAGATCATCAGAATTAGGGTGTCATATACAGATATATATATATATATATATACATATATATATATATATATATCGGCCGTGCTTCACCAGATGGGCCTTCCCTGCTGTGCTGGAGTTAAAAGTTAAAAGGATATGAGACCACGTGCGCCATCGTTTCATGCGTGTGAGAGCTCGCGATCTTCCGGTCCAGCTGGATCCAGTCCTCGGCTGAGGCAAATGTCTGCAGACCATTTGAGGGATTTCAGGGAGAGCTGGGCTTCAACGCAGGCTTTGGCTGCCACGCAGGCGCACGAGCAACATGACTTTGGCAGTATCGAGGCTGGAGACTAAACCCCACCACTTGCAGGCCGTCGGGGGAAGTCAAGGGAATAGACCGAAATTCAGCTGCACATCTATCCGAGCAAGATGAAGCAAGACTGCATGAACTGGCCCATTTTCCTGAGCAGTGGTCTTGTGCCGCTGAACGAGGACGCAGCAAGGATCGCACGTCGAGATTCGAATCTGCTATCCCCAGGCCCCGAATGCTAGTGCCATCAAGCTGCAAGCGCAGACCTGGGCGTCCCGACTCTGAGATCCCGACACTCTAACCCTGCAGCCAAAACGAGCCTCCTTCTCATGATTTGTTTGCTTGGACCCTCAGCCCGGCATCTTTGCAGGCATTCTTTGAGAATGGAGTGCTTTGGCAAGCTCCCGCAACTCGGCTGCGAGGGCTTGTTGAATCCTCGCCAAGTTTCGCCCGGTCAGTCAGGCAAATGCGTCCTCATGTCACATTGAACACTTGACATCCCTCTACCCTGTGTCTCTCGAACTTTTGCACCGAATCATGATGTGCTGGTTTTGTACTTCACTGCGCTGCTTCCTACGAAGACTTTCATACTTCGTGAGTGTGTATGCCGTGTGTTGCATCACTATATTTACTGCTCCTGTGTCCACTCGCCATCATGCGGCACCCGCCGGTCCTAACTGTTCTCTCGGAGCTTTCCGCACAAGGTCGGAGTTTTCACATGGCGCGATTGGGGGCTTTCCTCTTGGCTTCCATTCCTTTGCAAGTTTAAGAATCGGGATGCGATGCTTGCTCGAGTTGAAACTATACTGTGTGGAACCTTACAAAGGCAATTCTTATCTCAAGACGAACATAGACGAACCCAGGACCTGACCCGGAATAATCCTGCACGTTTAAAAGTGAAACGCAAGACGAGTGGCATCGTTCCCGCAACAGCTTCTGCCCGTGCTCCGGCCAGCAGCAGGAGCCTTGCAAGCTGTCAGTGAAGACATGAAGACAGAGACACGATGCCTTGCCTCAATCTTGATGCCGACAGGTTTACGTGCATGTAGAGATAGACAAAGAAATGGCTTCGCAAACTCTGCCGCTGATTAATCACTAGCCCCGGGCCGTCTCGATTTCATCAGGGTGAGGCTAACGGTGAGTTGATTCCTTGTAATTAGCGGGCGTGCATCGTGCCGCCTCCGTCTTCGACCAAAGCTGACGAAAAACTTCTGCGAGCATGTTGCAAAAGGAACCCAAGTCTCCCCTGAAGCACATGCCAAGATTTAAGCTCCGTGGTCTTGCAGTGTCCAGGGAACTTAGCGGTTGTCCGAATCATGTGAAAGGGCGGTATGCGATCAAGACATGCCGAGACGCTCGTCACTCAAGGCAACATCCACGGATCCTCGCACATCCTCAGGATTTCTGAATTGATGTGTTGGTGGCTTCAGGGTGTTGCAGGTACTTCTCGAAACCTCCGAAGTGTTGCTTGTACAGCTGTTGTCTAAGACGGCACCTAGTGGGATCTGCATCGGACGGCCTCCAGGAAGATAATTTCCAGCTGAAAGAATGCTCGCAGGAAGACATGCTGCAAACCCCAAAACCGGAGGAGCTTCCCTCGAGTTCCGAAATTCACTGTCAAATCCTGCATCCTGCCATCCCCAGTCCGACGACCGGAATTTCCATGGATGACCTGCGGCAGGGATGCCTGCTTCAGGTGACCAACGCGGAGTCCAGGCCATTGGACCTGTCAGTTGGACATGTCATGCAGTACGACGAGCTGGTCAGCTACATGCTGCGGAATGCTTGAGGAATCTCGAAGTCGCAGCGCCTTTTGCTGGGCAATGCTGGAATTATAGTCTCCATGTTGTCCCCAGACAGGGATTTGTTTGAGTCTTGGCTTCAAGCACACTCTGACCGCCTCGTCTTGCCTAAATGGTGTTGTGGCAAGTGGGAACCTGTTCCAAGAAAGAAGACGACGGGCCTTGTCCAGGAAACTGGGCAGCGCGGCTTGCAGCACAGTCACGGAATCCGGAAGCCTTGGGAATATGCGAACGTCCCACGACCTTTGGGCTTGATAGTGCTGAGGCAAGGTGCATAGCTTTGGGAGGTAGAGTTGTGAAGATTGTGGTCATTGAAAGTGGACCGGGGATTTCGCTCAGCCTGACAGAATCGAATCAACCAAACACAAGTCCCCACGTAAACGACCCTGCAATCAGTCTGAAGGGTTCGCGTTGGCTCCTTCTTTCTTCTGGGTTTTCCTTGTAAGCACCGCCAGCTTCCCTCTCGAGACATCCCGGCTCAGCAGCTACGGTGTGTGTTGGAGCTCGGGCTTCAGGTCTGATCCAAAGTAGGTATCTTAGCAGTTGGGCCCTAGGAATCGCTGTGGCTGTCTCCGAAATTTTATCTTTCACTGATCGATGCAATCCCCCTTGGCGCTCCACGCCTCCAAGGTGTCATGCGACTTTTTTCGCCGCGATGTCCGTTGCCAGCAGGCAAACGCACTGCGAAACCATTCGTGAAACTGGAGTGTAGCAACCCCTCGTCTGGAACAAGCCCTCGAACCTCTCTAGCCTATGTATACTACCATAAAGCCTTCATCTTCCTCAACCAAACTCTCTCGACGCTTCAGTCATCCGCGCCGCTCACCGGAAAACACCGCTCTTTCATGGGCATGCCAAGGCGGAGCCTCAACTGAAGAGTGGAATCAAGCACGCAGGCACGAACAAAGAGAGGTAGAGATGAAGGCTGCTTCGTTCACAGCCAGTATGTACATCTGAAGCCAACATGAGCCAACGGCTTGTTCGCATAAGCCGAGTCGCGTGTTGTCCACCCATGCCACAGAAACGATTGGAATCCGGTGCTGCTTTGCGAACTCATACCTGGGTTCTGCCCCTGGGTATGCCCTAAAGAAAGCTTACCAACTGCATCACAGAAGAAGCTTTCTGCATCTCATCCATCCGTCACATGATCTCCACGCGTGGGAATTGCGTCCTCATCCAATACGCGGTCTAAGACTAAGAGCTCGTGTCAGTGCTGGCATGCAACTCTTACAGCATCTGCTCAAGTCGAGACCCTCAACACACACTCTCTACTGCAACAAACGCAACACCTTGTACCGCTTCACGTCCTATCCGCTAGCTGATATTTCGAATCAAGAACCCAAACCAATCGGAGCGGCTTTTCACCCTGGCTGGCACCAGCGATGAGATGAGTATGGGCTTTCGTGAGCTCCTTCGGCGGAGTGCGTTTCGAACTGTACTGGAATGCTCTTGCTAAGAACAACTGGCTCCTGCTGGTCTTTTGCAATCAGATGAGGAGTCGATGTGCAACCCCGCTTCTCATCAAACACTCGAACAAGCAAACAAAGAGAGTCTGCCTCGCACCACCTTCGCTCGACCCTGGATCATTAATCAGCCAAACAAACAAACCCACACACCCAGCATCCAGTAATTAAAAGTGCAAAGCCCCTGGACACCCTGTGGTTCGTCTACTGACCATGTGTCCCAAGGCTTAAGCACAAGAAGGACCACTGCATCAGGTGAAAACCCCAACCCGCAACAGGCATGTGCCGATGCATGTTACTTGCGACGGGGGCACATCTGTGCACTGTGCGCCCAGAAGCTGCGCTGTCATGACCACGGCCTCTTTGGAGCCTGGAACTGAATCAGGGTCTTGACCATGGGCTAACCCAAGAGAAGTTGAGCAGAAGAGAGAAGGGAACCCACGAGCGAGCGAGAACGAGCCAGGGGCAAGGCAGAGAGGGTGGGTGCTAGAGAGCGAAAGTGATAGTCATGGGTTTGATGTCGCTAGCTACGTTGAGGAAGCTGTTCTGCGATGAGGTCAGGTGGTCACCTGCAGAGGCAGTGATGTGCAGTAATGCGTCACCCTCTCGTGGTTTACCTTCTCCGCAACTTGCTCGGGTGTACCGGTTCGGAACAAGCCTCATCGTGATTAGACTAGGTAAGGCTAAGTTTTTTCCTCCCGCCTAGCTAGGAAGAAGCCCTTGGATTGGCTGAGTCTTAGGTTTGATTCTATGCGACAAGATCAGGTAAGGCAAGACGAAATAGGACAAACCAGATGAGTCGAGATTAAACAAGAGGAGCCAAGAAAAGATCAGTTGACGTAAGGTAAGATAACACAATATAAGAGAAGATATGGTAATGTAGGGTAATGTAGGGCAAGATAAGTACCGTAAGATAAAATCAGGTGAAGTAAAATAAGACAAGAGAAGATAATGTAAGGTAAGATGAGGTAACATAAGATAAGCTAAGACTAAGATGAAGGTGAGGTATGATACGATAGGATAAGATAAACACAAGCAGGTAAGTAGATAAATTCATGGATGAATAGATAGATCGACAGATGGATCGAACGTGATCGAACTATAGACAGGAAGAGGGGAGGGAAAGAAAGAGAGAGAGAGACAGAGAGAGAGAGAGAGAGCGAGAGCTGCCTACTGAGTGCCATGATCAGGGCTTGAGGCCATGGCTTCACAATCGGGGATCAAAGGCATGCAAGAACGCAGGATGATGCCACCTGTCTTCAAACCCCCTCTAAGGCAACATCTCGGAAGTGTTCTTGCTTGGCTTGTCGCCATTGGCAGGGGCACATATAGCAATGAACTGCTCTCAGCTACAACTCTGGAATCAAAAGAAAGGAGTCCGGCTTTCACAAGCGAGTCCCGGTGACGTGTGCGCAAACGGCTGGTGCTCAGTAGCAGGCCTTGGCCGGGATCTTGCAAGTGGACGAGACATGTCAACACAATTCTCATTCCCAAGTCTATGCCCTCAGATCAGAAATCACGGACCGTCTCCTCCGGCTCATGACCTCCAGTCTATTGGACCCATGATTGCTCAACAACGGCCAAGACGCCCTCCATAAGTCGAGGTGCATAGCAACCGAAGGCCTGGGTCTGACACTTGCGGGCTTGAGCACACCGAGGTTTGCAAAATCTTAGGCTTCGATTTGCGAGTAAAGGCCCGTTGTCTTGTCCGCTTGGGACCAACTGGGACGATCCCCTTCGTGGCTTGAGGCTGGTCATTCGAGTCAGCGGGCTGAGGAATGACGGGTCCTGATCCCCATGTCGAGCAACTGTTTATTGACTTGTATGTGGTGTTGCTTCAACGTCCTGGACTAGCAGACTAGCAGCCACTTCTGCGAAGCAGGAGGGGCATGCAAACCTTCGGCCCTCGATCCTTCAAGTCTCTCGGCACGCAGCCCCTGGAGTCTCGTTGCTGCTTCCCAGGCAGCCAGCAATGCAGGAGCGGAAAGAACCTGCAAAAGCTCAGGCAACATATCGACTCGAGGGCGACAAAGGCCGTGGATGTGCTGAGATACAACCGATCCCGATATCCAATACAGTGATGGTGGTGGTGGTGGTGGTGGTGGTGGTGGTGGTGGTGGTGGTGGTGGTCGTGCTGACACTGTGACTACGGATCATGCTATAAGGAGTGGCGATGAGGAGGAGGGAGGCTGTGACAACGACGAGGATGATCATGAGGATGATGAAAAAGAATAAGAAGAAGATGATGCTGATGATGGGGCTGTCGCAGTATGAAGACTCTGTACTTGCGGGCCGCAACATGGAAAGACGGTAGCCGCCGCCACAGCAACTTTCCTCTACCCGTCACACTAATGCCGTCCGGGGCACTGAATGAGGCGCCGATGGAGGCACAGCCAATCCTGGGCGTATCAATCAACACCCCCTACCATTAGAACACACACTGCTCGATGGGGGATTTTGCGATTCCGACCCCGACTGCAGCGGACTTGCAGGCTGCAAGAGCCATTTATGGGGTGGAGATGCAAGTGTTTGCGGGGAACGAGTAGTCGACTGTTGAAGAGAAGAGAAACGTAAACTTCCGATCAGTCTCTGCTCAGTGACCTCCAACAAGAAATCGGGCACATCAAAATGTGGCACATCGAACTCAACTCCCAGAGACTCTCCAACACCTGTCCAACACGCCCCGTCACAGACGAAGAACATCCCAACATGTCGGGCCAATGTCGGGTGTCCGATGTCTCGGAAGCTGCCGGCCCGCCACGCAGCTTGCCCGCAACCAGGCACCGCGGTACAGCCTGTGGAACAAGCGTTCTCCTCTGTTGAGACTGGCAAGAATACAGACGCTGACGACGATGACAACAGCTGTGGAAGAGAATGATGACTATGATGATGGTGGGGGTGACGGCTAGCGACGATTTGCATAAACAACAACATAATGACGTGAACAGTGGCACCGGTACCAGCAATGGATGTCCAGTTCGAACACAGCCTTGCTTGCGACAGTGCCTCCACGAAAATCAAAGTTGTCACTGCTGCTGCCGATGAGGCTGTCATGTTGCCATAGCAGAACGAGCAAGTGATGAAGAGAACCATGATCGACATTGCCGTAATCACGATTCCCTACATTGCTCCCCTCCTCAAGGCCACGGCAACGCAACAATTTCCCATACCCACACTACAAACGCCAGCAATGCCACCTCTTTGCGAAAAGTGCTACAGGGCCAGCAAGGATCGAACTGTCTTAAACATCGACTCATGCCCCTCACATCATGGATGGCGATCGCCAGCTGACATTCTGCAATCTGGCTACAAGTGCGGGGCGTCACAGGCGTCACATATCATTGAGACGAGGGTCTTGTGGGAATGCCGGGATGTGGCGAATGCTGCGCAGCTACCGCCGCCAGGACCTATCCTTGCAGTGACAGAAATCTTCCGCATCGTCACACCCCAGTTAAAATTTGAAGCCTGCATGCTGCATCCGAGCATCAGAAGAATGTCTGCTCCCTGCCCACTCTGCTGCACTTTGGCACCGCACCAGCGGGCTAGGTGGACCAAAGGGCCCATCTCCGTCTTTCCTGAGGGGTTCTGAAGAAATAAGCTCCCGAACCCTGCGTTCCCGAACCACCCACAAGCCATCACGCCTGAAACACAACAGCCGATTATTTACCTCTGCAATCCGCAGCCACCATTCCACAACGAGGCCGAGCCAAGAGAGTGGAACCCGATGGTGTGGCAGTGTGGCTTCTCAGAATGACATTAAAGCTTTTGTTCCAGGCCAGGATTCCAACGACTGTGGGCCTGCTTGCGTTAGGTACTCATCTTCTGCAAGCCTAGCGGTAGCAACACCGCACCACTCTGACTTCACCTGCCGAGTCGGATCCTAAGTCCTACGTCATGCCCACGAAATATCATATTGATAATTCCCAACTGTGCTTGTCTGCGCGTCACTGCCATTGGGGACTACAGCTGCCAAAAGAAGCCAGTGCCTAAGTCGTAGCCATGCCCTTGCCACGTCTTGTTGCCGTGGGGGTGTACGTTGCTCAGTTACTCTACCATAGTCTACAGGCTCATGGAGTTTTCCAAGTGTCCCATGAGCAGCGCCACCCGGAGGCCCTTGAAGAGCACCCTGCGGCAGACGTAGCCATGGCGGCCTTCCAGTCGCACTTCCCTTTTCATCTCGTCGCCTTCGGGAGTTGGGGCGGAACCCGAACATCCTACAGAGCCCCAGTATGCCTTAGCACCCTGAACCGAACAAAAGCATAGCATTTCTCATTGCAAGCCAAGGCACGCTCCAATTCCGAAAAAGGGAGGGACGCGAATTCGGAGTCGGCCCGTCGGACCCAGAGTTCCTAGGCTCTCCGTCGCTCTGCTGCGACCAAAACATACCAAAACAACAGCCTGGGTTGAATAGGTTTGGCTTTTGCAGATTGTGGCCCGACCCTCCTTGAACTTGACCTGGGTGAAACGCCTCCGTCGCTTGGAGATCCCCAGGTCTTCATCTGCCTTACCCACTTCCTGAAGAGCCACATGTCGTTGCTATCATGTTCGATCCCCTGGCAAAAGCGTAGGAGTCTCAGGCTTCAATCCTCCATCTCCTTCTGCCACGGAGGACAAAGGATTCACGCCTTCCTCTGCTTACGTAAGGTCCCGAGAAGGAACCGCCCCAGTTGTTCATTCGTGCTCAAGGCCTGATGCCCCAGCGAGGTCAAGCATAGAGGGTCTCACGAACGGAAACTCTCCAATGCCAAGGCTCAGTGCTCTCGAGGATCTCAACCAGGCATCCTCTGTGCATGTTGAAAGGCGTCCAAAACATGGTTCAGCTTCAAGCACAAGACCGTCGCAAGACATTAGTGTTTAGGTCTATAGGTCATTAGATGCAACTTCTTGCACGGGGTTGCCAGATTTCGAATATTACATCGACGAAAACTCGGCAGACTTAGGCTATGCTGTATCTGTCGCGGAACAGCACGCAGCATGGCCCTGGAAAGCATCGAAAAGCTAAGCCATTCATTTTGAAAACCTGTCGTGCAGGAGCATCGGAACAAATCTGGCGAGGTGCTAGCCGTGCTGGCGCTCCGAACGAGTTCCTGGCGCAGTCGAGTTCCCAAACAAGCCCGGTATCGACTCACATTGTCGTATTCCCACACCAGTCCCGTCCCTTCAAGCTCCGGAACGTCGTGCTACAGCTCAGAACTCCAATCCAAGCTCGGTTCCTGGTCCGGCAAGAGGTCGGCAATCTGCTGCCATGCCTGGGAGCACAGCTGACGGTACCCATGGCAGAGGTGACACAGCTTGGATCATAAGGGCTCCTGCTCGTAATTAGGCATTTGGTAGTTTATCGGCTGTGCAGACGGATCCGCCGAATGCCTTCGTCCTGCCTGGTAGATCCCCGGTGTCGAAACTCGAGTAGAGTCAAAGCCAGTTGTCCTAAATATCGTCCTAATTGCACGGAAAAAACCTTCAAACCACGTGGGTTGCAATATGCTTGGACGCCTCGGCTGGCAGCAGCGACCAGGAAACCGATGGACGGCATTGCTCCTGCCGTCGGCTTTGGAGGCTTCAGAGCAAGGCCCGCGCTTTGCGCGAAGTCTTGCCCCTCCTTCCCGCTCTCCCTCTCGCCTGTTTCTTCCTGGCTGAAATGGGCCCCACATCACCTTCTAACTTGACATTTTCGTGAGAATTCCATCGCTCTTTCAAGGGCAGGGAGACCTGTCCAGGCCTCCGAAACCCAAACCGTTCTGTGCCAACTGTGGCTTTAGATCCGTCTTGAAGGAAGGTCTCAGTCACACCGAAAACTCTCGAGCCATCCCTCCAAACAGCAGCCCGAACATAGAACTGGAAGTGGTTTAGCAGCTGGGAATGAACACGAATTCCCGGCAGCAACTGCAAGCGTTTCGACCTTGCGAGACTCTTGCGTGGCTTATGTCTTTTGCATCTTCGGAGGTCCCGCTGTCCCGCCTGACTCTGTGTCTGTGGGGTGTCCGGGCCGTCCGTGAACTCGCCTTGGCTCTGCAACATCCAAGCATCTTGGGCTGGAGTTCTGCCGTCGCAACCTGGGACTGCCTACCGCCAGTGCAAGCTCGGTGCGCCGACGTCGGCATCTGGGCCGAGGGTCGTCAGAAACGGGTGCAAGCTCAATCCTGGGGGCATGCCGGTATTCGATCGGGAGGGGGATGCAAGCACTAACAAAAACAAACATCTCTCGTTTTGCTCGTTTTTGCAGACCCGCAGCGCGAGTGCCCGTTCGGGTCCTGACCCACCATGAAAATCAAAGCGTTTGCCTATACAAAAGAAAGTATTGCAGCACAGCACAAAACATTGCCATCACTTCCGAGCTTGATAACATCTTGCCTCCCTTCCATGATCTCCCATGTGCCAATTAAACATGTTCTGCGAATCTACACTGAATCACCGCTTCACCGTGACAAGATGCTGATGTCACTGCTATCGGCTCATGATGTCTGTCAAGGCAGGCTCTGTTCTGTTCAGATTCCTGCAGAAGCTCTCTCGACCGGCTCACACAATCGCCCTCTCTCCAAAGTACCGGGACCGGAACAGGGAAGAACCGGCTCAAGGCCTTCACGTGCATCCGAAGGACGGGCTGAGGAGTGGCGTGTTGCCATGGGCCTGGGCCTCTCCCTTCAGCGAGAATCTGTCGAAGTCGTCCATGGCGCCGCGATGCGCTGCGTTATGGCGAAGAGCAAGTAGGTCGCTTAGACCCGTATCCCAACGTGCTGGGCTCCGATCTAACAACGGTGGAATGCTCAAGCCGCCCTCCGCCCCACCCCCAGTCTTGCAACGACATTCCTATACGGTCTTGACGTGAGGATCGTGCCATCTGAATCCGACACTCGAGGTGGTTGCATGACGGTGTCAAGCCTGTGTCAATTACAGCATTACGGCAACTCTCGCCATTGTCACACGCTCAGGAACGGCTGCATCGAGCCAAGATGAAGACAGTAAGAACGCACCGCGCTCACGGGAAAGCCTGAGTTTGACACTGCTGACCCGCTTTGTCATGAACGACAAAACCGGCACTCACGTTGTTTAGCTTCAGAAGCCCTCGCGCCCCATGCATTGACTCAACAGTCAATTACGTCATAATCAACAGTTTACGACACCTCAGTCTTGCCTGCACACATGCAACCCGATGACGTGCACACTTGCTTGCAAGTGAGCTGCAGCCACAAATCACCTGGGCTTTCGCATTTCAGTTGAACTTTTGCCCCGGTGTACGTAGATTATTTCGCTCCGAGTTCGAACCACAACAGTGACAAGATTTCCAAGGTCTTGTGTTGTGTAGCTGCTGCTTTGCAATGCATCGACTCTGAGACACAGCCACAGCTTCAGCACAACCCTCACAGTTTGTTCAAACCAAGGTGCGGAGCTTAGTCTCCGTGCTATCTGGGGTGGGACATCGGGTGCTCAACTGTCCGAGCCAGAGCGCCATGCACGTCCTCCCAAATACTGGACGTGGAAGCTTCGACTGTGTCCTTCCGAGCAGACGGGACGGTTGCTCGCAAAACTCGTCATAGGGAGCATACCGAGAGATCATCATGACAAGTGAAACTGAGCCAGTGGATCAAATGCTGATTCTCCAGATCCTGGACTATGCCAGCATGACTGAGACAAACCCAAAGCCTTTGAAAGCCACCAAATGGGAAGCTGCGGGAATGAGAGTTTGAAAAGGATGGCTGAAAAACCAAAGCAAGGAACAGGACGCTCCCCATCTTCACCTCGAGTATCACATCAGAGACTTAGTGTCGAAAGGGGTTGTCACAAGCCAGAAGCAGCGGTTGAGGGCTGGAAAGGCAGCCTCGACCGGCCAGAAACCCAGAAGTGTCTTGGACTTCTTCTCCACTTGGCTGGCCAGGGACACGGGAAGCCTCCGGAAGCAGCTGCGTTCGGGAAGTTGTGCTTTTGCAAAATCACTCGCGCTAGGATTACAGAGGCTCTGCATGAGCTGGGACACCTTCCACCGTGGAGTGAACCCGGTGCGACTACACCGACCAGACTTTGCAATGCCAGGAGAATAAATACCGGAGACACTCGGAGAGAGTGCCATGCTGGAGATCGCGTCCCAAAGGATTTGACAGCAGCTTTGAGTTCATAAGCGGCTCACAAGCATCGAAGTCAAGGGTCTTAAGTGTCCGACATGCCCAGGCCCAAGCTTGGGAGAATCCCCCGGGCCGAAACATCCAGAACGACTCTCAGACATGTGGCACGCAGCAGTATATGCAACTGCTGTAGTGTCGAAGGCTGTTGCTAAAAGCTCCAGGGCCTCCGTCGAAACCGAGAGGAAGCGAATTCAGAGGTGCGCAGAACCGCACCTTCCAAAAAAAACTTCGGTACAATTCTGTAAGATCCCCTCTCTCAGGCACATCACTACTGGGGCTCAAGATGGCTATGGGTTGGATGAACTCAGCTTCGATCGTCCGTGCAACAACGATCGGAACCTCTGTCGGATCTGGAGTGGCGTATATTTTCGGACTTCGCACTGCTGGCTGCAGGGGACTCCAGATGTCTGAAGCACAGTGGTGCCTGCGGCAGTTGGGTGATCCGCTGACTTCCGAAAGCAGCAGATGAAGAAGCCCTCGACCTCGAGGGGCACCATCCGCAAGCGCAATGACTAGCATCTGCAACTCCGGAAGCCCGTCTAAACAGAAATGCAAGCTATTCACCAGCGAGGCATGGCAAGGAAACCGCAGAAAAGTAAGTGACAGGATGACCACTGCCCGCGAGAGTGCATCTCTCTGTGCGACCACGATGCATTAAAACTGTGGGGAAGCAAGCGCACAGCTCCTGAACCAGCGATTGTCCCCACGCATTTCATGGAGAAGTGGCGGAGGAGCGGCTTAAGGTTGCAACTGCAGTTTCACAAAGTCATGGCTCTAGTCTGGAAGCACCACCGTGACCCCGACCGACTGCTGACACTTCCACCCGACGTGGCCTAGGCCACCTCCGCCCTTGCTCAGCACGTGGAAGTGCGGTCCCACCGCGGAAGGGAGCTCAAGCAGAGACAAAATCTCCACAGGTATGGCAGCCTGCGCAACGTGCGGACACGGCTGGGTGCTTTGCTGGTCAGGGTCTATCCTCACAAGCGCGAAAAAATCAGACAAAAATGTTGGTGGTAGAGGTGATCTTGCGACAAAGATAATGCTACCGCTGATGATGGCAGTTGCGATAACTGCCATGGCTGGACTTACATCGGCAATGAAGATACACGCAGCATTTGCAGTCAGATCAGCAAGTCAGAAGCAAACGGCACGGCTCATTTGCCCAAAGGTATGCATTGCTGCTACATCAACAAACCTCATGTGCTTTTGGTTTGCTGTTGCGGTTGTTGAGCTGTTCATCTAAATTCATTTTCCGCATGAAACCCTCGTGCACGCAGCTAGGTCCAGAAATGCAAAACACAACAAGAAAGGATGTCATGATCTCACCTCCCCTGCAGACGTGCAAATCTAAGAGCAACGGCAAAGGGCAGGGAACCTCCAACCACCCGAAGCGAAGCAACCAGGTCTGCACTACTGCTGATAGTGACATTGTCACGACTTTATGGCCGAAGCAAATCATGTCCGTAAATGTAATGAACGACACCTCGCAAGAATAGATTGTCGTCATAATCGTCACCATGTCCAAACAGCACTACCACCACCACCATCACTACCACCACCACCACCACCACCATCATCATCATCATCATGATGGTCACGTCTGGTCCCAACATCGTAAGCATCAGCATGTCGGCCTTCTTGCCTTACTGCGGCTTTTCCCTCGCGAATGACTGTGCAAGCTCCCACAACTCCCGTAGTCCTCATTACTCTGCTGATTTGCTTGCGACTTCAGCTCTGCAGATGGACAGTCGAGACTCCACACCCACCACCCATACCGTACTCCCGCAATCCGAAACATGACAGCCATTCGGGAGCAAAGGTGCTAGCACTGCCAGGCACAGGTCTTTAGGAAGGCAGTGACGTGAGCCTACAACTTTAATGCTGTGTGTTAAACTGAGTGACTGTGTGTTAAACATGCCATTCATTTGGGGGTCTTGTAACTTGTAACTAAATTATAACGTTTGTCATGACTCCCGCAACGGCAGGACCAGATGATTGAACTTCAAACTTCAAGCGTGAATGTAATTAATCTGCGTCCGGAGAACGTGGCCGACATCCTTGAGGAACTGTGAGCAAACCTTCTCGTTCTCGTTAGGGTTGAAGGTGCAGGTTGAGTAAACCTGACCGGTGGCTGGTTAACTCAACTTGCTGAGAGATCTGCATGTTCGTGGAGCTCCTCGCTACGCCATCCCGAACCTCGAAAACACTACATGTTCAATGCACGGCCATCAAGCAGATAAGGGACTAAGCAGCCACCCGGCTTCAGAGCGCGCCAACCGCTGTGGAGCAAAGATAGCTGAATCTCTGTAAGCGCCCGGCTCCTGAGCTGCCACCACCGAGCAAAGGTAACCCTAGTAACGCTAAGCGAATGAAACAGGCCTTTCCGAATTGCTACAGACGCACGGAAAGTTAGGTCGCGCTCACGGCCAGAAAACAGATAGGGTGGGGCTTTACCTTCTCCGGCTTCTCACAACTGCACCGGTAGCAAAACGTTTGGGCCAAGTCTCTCCTTGGCATCACAACGGAGCAGACGCAGGATCTCTTTTCGCACTGTGCCTACGAGGAGATTCGAAAGAACGTCACTCACGAGCAGCAGACCGAACCCTAACAGCCGTGCCGATTCAGCGAAGCAGACATCTCAATGCGCAGTGCACGCTACAGGCTGATGTCTTCATGGTCGGTGTTGGCTTCATTGTAGTTGTCCTCATCATTACCTATCTTCCACGTCACTTCCAGCGTCGCCATCACCGCGACTCTCAGTCTCGATGCAGCGGCAGCGGCAGTACCACTGCGACCACCAACACCAGCACCAGCAACGAATGAGCACAATTATTCTTCGTGTTGTCGCTTCCTGTATTCGTATTGCCTTGCTACTGGGCAGAGGCTGAAGCAGTGAAGCCCTTGTCGTGACAAACACACTTCAGGGGATGATCCCCGCGAGCACCAGAGCCAGTGGCACAAACGCCGCCTTCGCAGGAGCACGGGGCATCCACCAACACCTCACACAATCTTTCTGGAGGCTTAAGGCTCAGGTGGTGTGTCAATTCCGGTAGCCCACTCGGTGTAGGCAGTCTTTTACCGCATACACTCAGCGCATACTGGAATACAGCCGAACCCTCATTCCAGGTCCCAGTCTCTGAAGTCTGCATGGACAGAAGATCCAACTTTCAATTTCGGACTTAGCTGCCCCGTCGAAGGCTTCGGGGAAGACTTGCCCAACTTCCCGTCCATCCGCGCAGCTGACCGCCACTTGGCTGCCGGACCCACTTCTCCTGAGAAGAGCATAGAAGAACGTGGGGCACACTTGCTGCTTATGCCATCTCCCGCTCACATGGCCGTCAATGACGACCTTCGGAACTTCGGGTTTTGCACAGACATGCTCTCTTGCCATGTGCACGGACATCCCAATGCGGCCACGCAGCAGCAGATTTCGGTGAAGAATCTCCTAGGCCACGCGGAGCGGACCCAGATCATACAACTTACCAACAGACAGCATAACCTACCACGTGTTCCACGAGCTTTACCACGTTCGGCAAGCTTCGAAGACGGCGCCACTGGAGTCACTGACAGCCTCACCGTTTTAACGACCGCCGCCCTGGCAGCCCCTGAACGCTTCCGAACGACTACGCAGATCTACCGGGAGTCGGCGCGCCGAAAGTCGGGCTCGTTGGCAACGAGTGCGCCACCCTGCCAGGTCCGAGCGCTGGAGCTTGTTTTCACGATCCAACCTGTGGCAGTTCGGGAAAGCTTGGGCTACGTTTTCTCATCCAACAGATGCTGCGACGCCTGGAGACCGGCCGCCAGCTGCGTGGATTTGCCTCAGCTTGTGCTTCCCCCACTCGTCACCTGCCCGCCTCGAGAGGGACAGACAGAGGAACAAGGTGACAAGATCCATGCCTGACTAGCATCAGGCTCAAAGCCAGGGACCACAAGCTTCAGTTTTCTCTTGCATTTCCGAAACCCTGAAGCATCCAGGAACGTGGAAAATCATGGAGACTTCTGCAGCTTAGTAGACTTAGTAATTAGTGTCCAACTCAAGCTCAACGGCTGCCAGGAGCTGCACACAGGTCGAGCAGCAGCAAGCCAGTCCTTGGCGGTGTTTGGCCGAGAGACTGCTGGGAACAAGCTCCGTTACACACACTCACCGATGGCTTCAGAAACGTGAAGAGAGATGAGGCCTGCGCTTCCGGGATTGCAAGTGGGGTTACGGTTCTCCGGATGTCGAGAGCATCCCAGACCTGAAACACACGTGCCAGGTCCTTGTTTGAAGAAGGAAATCCTATGCCCGGTGTCAGGTCACCAATTGGATCTGATATGGAACAGGGTGCATGGTCCGTCGGCCAGATGTCTGCGTGAAGCACTCCAGAGACAGCAGCAACACCTGCCAAGATCTTTTCTTTTGGCGGGTGCACAAGCTGGACATTGGGGTCCACAGTTGTGAGATGAGCGTTTTCGGCACAGTTTAGACCAAAGGCTCATGCGGCTCATGTAAAGGACTCTGGACTTCAAGCTTAAAGAAGGCGCCCTGAACCTCAACAGCTAGGCAAGTTTGTGCGGTCCTCCCATCCCGTAAGCTTATGTAAGCGCCCGACCAATCGGCAGGACGAAACGAAACATACTAATGTGGCAAAGACTCACGCAGCGGCCTCCGCTGGGAGCATGGATGTGGCCTCTTGGAAATACCTGATCTCGGTCTCTCCAAGGCCCCCCTGCTGAACATCCTCACGCTCGCTCACATCGCTACAGACAAAAGCTTCCCGCACCACACTGCCAGTGTCTGCTCTTTAGTAATTCTGGGCGATGCTTCCTGCAGTGGCCATTGTGCTAAATGAATGTCAGGCAAGCCAGGGCACACCTCGCCAGTTACATGAGGCGGGCTTCCACCGACTGCGGTGGCACCCTGGGCGAGGAACCCATCAGCCAGCCAGGGAAGCGGGCTGACCTTGCGGCTTGGTCCCACGAGCCCGGGCACCCCACGACACTCTCCGAAGTTGACAGCCAGCCGCCTGCCAGCCATCATCGCCAAGGCGAGCCAGAAGCGAAGAAGTCGCCTTCAACCGCGAGGCCCGGAAGCTGCGCTGCAGCGGCCTGGAAAATCTGCGGCAGTGCGCGGGTGTGCATATGTGTGGCCAGTGACATTACATTAAAGGTATTACAGTTTCAGGTTCATGAAATGCGCACGTTTCAAGAAAGCGTCGTGCCCTCTGGAACTTGATGGATCTGCCGCAACAGGCTTACATCAGCATGTAGCTCTGGTGCCAATCGAGCCATCACTCAATTTTGAACTGAAGCCCGGTCCTGGCACAGGCCCGCAGAAAGTGGCGCAGCGAAAGACCCCGCAACCCCTGCAGACATCAGGGGTGCATCAAGTCGGGGGTCTTTCATAGAGAGCCGGTTTCAAAGAGGAGTACTGCACGGCCATCGCGTCGAAATTAACCGGGCGCTCTCCGTCTGCGATCGAAAAGCATAGCAGCTGTTTGCACTGGGTGCTCAACGGATGGACTGGCTTGTCACTAGCTTGTCGGAAGCGCGGCAAATGCAAAGTAAGTTATTCGTCGAAGCGTCATTGAACCGCACAGCACTTCCGAAAGGGAGCAGAAAGAAGAGCAAGTGCGTCGGGTCGGAACCTTTCGCTCGGAGGGCTTGCAAGGATCGTCGACGTCTTATCATTATCCTTAAAAAGCTCCAGGCGTCAGATGGATCCGCACGGCACCGCTGGATCTTGCCACAGCCGATAAATTGCATGCTGAACGGGCCTCTGCAATCAGCGGTCCAATGAGCTGGAAGAAGTCATTGGATGCATACCTGGGCTTCGACTCGCACAATACAGGAACGATGCAGGATGGTTTCAGCTGAGTCTACATTTGTGAGACAACGGGCTTGCAGTTTGGGCCTGGTCGTTTAGCTCTTCCGAACGTGCCGACACAGCGGGGACGATGTCCTTGCTGCCTGGCTCTTTAAGCTTTCTACAGAAATGCGAGCTGCGAAACATCGGTCTGAAGGCTCGGTGCATCTTTGGGCTCCCCTAGCTCGCAAGCCTTGGTCGTAAGGAATCCTGAATTCTGCAAAGACTATGCGGTGTCACTTGTCCCCGTCACTGCATTGGGTCATTTTGGCATGCGAGAAAGACCAACCGCGACACCTCGCATACGAAGACTGGAGACCATGGAAATCACACGCAAACCTCGACGAAAGCGACGCCTGTCGAAATTTCAAGAACAGCGGCGGCTTCCGCCGCAGCCGCCGGGGTGCAGTCAAGCCGAGAGCTAGCTTCCTCAGAACCAAGCATCTCGCACTCTGGGGGGTAGCTCATTGCTTCCATGCAAGTACGACTCAGAGTTCAAGGTTTGCCATGGGCCGTGCAGGAATGCAACCTCACACAACAAACGCAGCGACATTCCTTAAGACCAGCTTCTCGTCCACCAGCTCCTGGACAATGCCGAATCGCGCCTCTGCGACTTTATGCTTGTAGTGGCAGCGTGGCTTCAAAAGCTATCTACAGCAGCTTCCACGTGATATCCGAAATTTGATGCTAGGCCTCCAAGCCTTGACTTTGAAGCTTTATGACTTTGGCGACAGCTTTTTTTGCTTCGGGACTTCATGGGTTTGCCCGGGGCACAGCTGCTTTGCTTTCAGCAGCCATGCCAAGAAAACAACCCCCCTATTCCCCGCTTTGCTTTCAGCACCAAAACGATTTCTTTGAGCATGTGCAAGATGTGGGTGCTTAGACAGGAGTCAGGGTGGACAATGCCCACCACGCCCAACTCCTAACCAAAGATGCTCAAGCTCCTCACTCTGATTGCAACCAAACACTTGGTTGCTTCCCCCCCCCCGGCATGCGGACATAATGAATAACAACATGAAGCAGCCATGGCCAAAAATGTCGTCCCTGTGCTGGCTTGCTGACCAGTCGCATCATCCTCACTCAGAACATCTTCGAACGCAAGGATGCAGGAATTAAAACCTCGGTTCATGAAGGGCAGAGGAACGGCCGTCTTGCTGTTGACACATGTACCGATGCTACCGCAATGCTACCTGCAAGGCGGGAGTTCTGCGGGCAGGTGGCTGATCACATCTGGCTGCAGTTCCTTTTGCGAAACGGGAGCTACGCTGCAAGTCTACGCTGCACCAGCGGCCGCCGGCTACACTGCGGCTGCGCTCCTCGTCGGACATCTGCCGAAGCCAAGCCAGGGCAGGTCGCCACTGGGCGCCGCGCGCACAGGCGTAAATGACGGCATTCAGCATCCTCGGCAATGCGAAAAAGCTTCGAAACGACCTTAATTAAATTAACCCGCATTTCTGCATAAACCACTCGTATACCGCCAAAGATGCAAGAGGTTTTGCACTCCAGGTGGGGCTGCAGCTGCTAAGATGACCCGTTGCTTCTACACCGAGCTGACACATGCTACTTGTGCTGGATGGGATTCAGCACCGAATCAGTTCTGTACTCCACTTGCGGCTGCCAGGCAGCGTGCTGGATGCTTGCTGCACCCTCGGCCACTCGTAAAACCTGTGCGGTCTGCTTTGGAGTCTTTTCTACGCAGGCTCTGCTGAAAAAACATAGCTCATCGACTTTCCATCGGTTTGGTACGGAAACTCATGAGCCCCTCATTTTCCGCTGCGCCATGCCAAGATCCATTGCTCAAGTGCGGGGTCATCCTGATGTTTGCCACTGTGCGATGCGTCTCCCCAGCGTGCTTCCACCGTGCTACCAGAAGATCAGGGCGAGCACAAACAGCATGACTCCAAGAGAGCCGTGAGCCGACACGATGGGGAGGCCGACAGGTGCATTTTCCAAGTAACGCGTTTGCCAAACGTGGTCGGTTTGGCTACATGCTGTTGTCTCTGATTTTGCTTTCTGCTTCTTGCGCTGTCGCTGTCCCGCGTAGTTTTTTGATTGGCGAGAGTGCGTTGAGAAGCCAAACTGACTCCGACCAGAGGTCGCACAGGCTTCTCCAAGAGGACAAGAAACGCAGCAACAGGCTGCTGGCCGGAACTTTCATGCCTTTCGTGCCAGCTTACAGAATTCATATTCTGGCTCATTTGACAAACGACCTGTTGACAAGTAGCCTGAGCAAGTCACAGAACTACAACCGCCTCTAACACAGTCACAAATTAAGATTACTTGCGGTGAACACCCAGGAAACGCGTTCCACTGCGAAAACCTTTTAAAGAATACGCAGAGTCTAGGTAGAGATCTGTGGCGTATCTCGCAGCAACTTGCTGTCTTGTTCGTTACAGTACAATTAGGCCGGGCTGCAAAGTACGAGGTTAGAACCCGTGGCATTCAACCAGCGTGCTGACCTCAAAATTACAATCGAGGTGCTGCTCCATCAACGTCACAGCTCGCTGCCACTGCACCGCTCGTGCACATGCCGAAATGGTCGTTCCTCTTCGGGCAGAGCTTACATGCTTGGTTCTGCGAGGGAAATTAGATGTCTAAGGCCACCCTCCAGGTATGGCTGCCAGAGTCGAAACTTTGAAACCCCAAAGTGCGGATTGAACGGTCGTTGCTCGTATCCCCCAACGATCCAAGAACGATCTGATTTGGGACGCTTACCTGAAGCTCTGGGCTTCAGGCTTTCATGCTGTCAGAGCAGGGGGACTGCAGAAAAACACCCACAGAATGCCACAACCTCACAGACTAACCCTTTAAGGAACACAGTGACCCGAAGAGTCAACTAACGGCAATCGGAATCTGCAGAATCCCACCTGGACACACTGATTGTCCCAGCTGCCCGTCTCTTAAGTTTTGGTTTCAAGCCCCGGCCCACCATACGTGACGAGATTGGCACTCAGTGACCGTCCCGGCAGAGCCTTAGTTGGCACATGCGCCCTGAATTGCAGGTGGCAAATCTACAGCCTGCATTTCAAGCTTCAGTGTCGCGCCCACTCCAACTCCACAGGCGAGCCAGCTCCATTCAGTCTTTGCGGCCCGGCAACTGCAAAGAGGCCCAGTGCTTGCTGCCAAGCTCCCCCGGAGGCACAAGCCTCAGACTGGTGCTAAGGACTCTTTACCAAAAGGGCCATGCGGCCTTCAAGGACATAGCGATCAGAAATGGCGGGCCTTGAGCCCAAGCAGCTAAATGGCCTTACATTCTTCTTGAAGCTGACAGCCCCAAGCCGGCGAAGCGCAATCAGAAAGGAAGGCTAAAGCGATGCAATGTGCGAGCATACAAACATCCTGCTGAGACCTGTGCATGCACGTCAACTTTTGCATGAACGCGAAAGCCTTCCAAGGAGCACTGATCGCAGACGTGCATGCAATAATGTTGGAGCTCACGCTCTGCTGCTCCATGCTGCGAAGCAACCTCAGGCAGCCAAAGACAATCCTGGTGTGAAAACCAAGAGCGAACAAACTCATCAGTCTCGTCATCTGCTGTGCATCATACACCCGATGTGCGGTTGACCTGCGGTGACAAGTGTCGTAAGGTTGCTGTCGAATCATGCCACTGAAGTGTCACAACCGGCGAGTTAGGAACTTGGTCGCCACGTATGCCTTCTCTAGCGTTTGCTCGAAACTCACAGCCGAGCGACTCCAGTGCCGTGCACCACTCGGCTGTTCTCTCACACGCGCTGATGGCCACGCCTTTCGGCCAGGGCTACTGTCGCACTCGGTCTGACCGTTGCACAGCGTGCACATGCACAAGACGGTTTGCTTCGCAGCAAGCTGCAGCAACGACACGACCCAGCAACAAAAACATGACTGCAAAATCGCACGCATCCACCAGCCAGGCCAATCGGTATCTTCACCTTTGGAGGCCAGTTGCTGTAGGAGATGACGTCGGGCAGAACGAAGCTCGTCTGCATCTCCTATCTCTGGCTATTGAGGTACATGAATTTAAAGGATATTTAAAGGGTGTGAGCAGTGTAAACATGCACCGCTGCCACGACTGTGAATCGGAATGTTGGGCAGCAGAGCAGAAGAACAGAGGCGTCTTTAGAATTGCTTCTTTTTGCTGAACCCCGCAGACTCTGAGTCTTCCATCTCCGTGCCTGGAGCAGTCGACAGGAGGCCTCCCAGAGACCAGGTATCTCCAGGGCGCCAAGCATGGCATTCGCGGGAACGAGCCCCAACTGCGCAGGAAGGTCCCTAAATGACTCGAAATTCTATTTGAAACCACAGCCGGTAAGGATGTTTGCGTTTCTGGGATTCTCAACCCTGAGCCTCAGCACTTGGACATGGAGGGTGGCTCCCCTACATCGTTCAAAGTTCAAACGTTTCATGCAGGAGCTCAAGCGATTGAGCTTTCACCGACCCGAGCATCCAGAATGTACATCTGCATCTCGAAATCGTCTCCGAAATGTGTCAGACACTACAAAAACATGCCCCCCCCCCCCCCCCCCCGCATGTACCCCTCCCCCTCAACCCCTCAGGCCCCTTGGTGTGCAATGGCGGCACATAGCAATGACAGCGCCGGAGCCCAAGAGTTGCATTTTACCTCGGTCCCCTATCTGAGAGGCACAGGCTCAAGATGTTTCTTGGAAGCTTGACTCTCGACATGCGCCCAACCTCCGAATACATTCCTCTTCCTCTACAGACGGTTGGGAAAGCACAGGTTCTATCTCCAACGGAGAGGAAGATGAAGATCAGTGCTTTGCAAAATTGCCTTCTCCCTCTCGCTTAAGCCGCAGACGGTTTCGAGAAAGTACCATTCTGACGAGGATTCTAGGCACACTCCGGGAGAAGTTCAAACTTCGTCGCTGGATGGCAACTCGCGGCACATCAATGTGCAGAAACTTCAAACCAACCCAAGGACTGGAGGCGTGTTGGTTGGAGGGTTTACAAACTTGGCGATGTTATGGCTTCAGGACGTTCAGGATGCGTGTCTGCTCCTGACTTACCATAGGTACCGCTGCATATGCCTGATCTGGATGATCTGAAATAGACCTAGTTGGACGTGGAAGCTGGCAATTCTCACGCTCAGGAAGTTACGAGGGTTGGGCTTCTGCTCTGAGAGAGAGCAGTGCTCCAATAGGTACTATATAGTATAGTATTGCATGAACTACTGCCGTGCGGCATCTAAATGTAAATTAATCAGAGTTCAGGGCAAAAAGCTTAAGGACCAGAGCTGCTTAATCAAGGTCGGAGGTTCGCAAGCGCTGGCGACCGCGCTGTAGCAAATAGCATCAGGCTCCAGGTGTCGCTGGAGCATGTCCCGGAGCAGCTCCAACCTTGATGCAAAGGAATCAAAGGGTCGCAGAGCGGAGCTGGCTGAGATCAACAGGCCCCGTCATGCTAACAGAAGAACCCCATGTGAAGACAACTATGCCAGCGTAGGCTCCAATTTGCAAAATACTCCTAACAGCGAAAGATCACATGCGATGTATGCCACGACGGTCTGGGGAGCGCCCAAAATATCGCTCTTTGGTTCGGTTCCAACCCGACGCCGAATGCTCCATCTGTGCGCGTTCGTGTTCATGCTGCGGTTGTGTCCGATTCAGGAATTCATGTCTGCTTGCCCTTGTCTTTGTGTGTGGGCGCAGAGCGGGAGCCACGGAACCGCTTTGTGTGCCTGTATAGATCTCGCCCTGCACTTCCTAAGAGGTCAAATCCGTGAAATTTAAGGATCCTGCGCCTATGCCAGCCCCGAAGCCATACTGCCATACGACACCCAGCACACCGTTCTCCATGGCCCCGGCGAGTGGGACCACGCCTCGGGAAGTCCGCAGGCGCGGATGGCTGCGCTGTACACGAATCCATTCGGCTGGAGCCTTGTGCAGGTTTTGGGGAAGCGAGAGACAGGTCAAGAAACGAGTTGACGATCTGTTTCGATGTTCAAAGCCGGCTTTCGTGGGGTTCGGCACATGAAGCATGTAGACTGTAGACCTTATAAGAGGAGCATCAACACGTAGCTTGTTACAAAGCTGCTATCCTACGCATCGTGTTTAAGCTTCTGATGCCATGTGGTCGGTGCTCAACAAGATCCAGCACCAACGGGTTCACAGTTCACACTGCGCATTTGAACAAACCCAGAAGGACCTGTCATACCGACACACTCCACGGATCAAACCGCAGCTGCATTATGATGCCGTCATCATGCGACAAGTTCGACTCTCACACTCGCGCAAAGCAGGCAAAGCTCCACCACACAGTCGCTTTACGCAAGAAGACAGCCCAGTGCCACGCCAGAAGTACAAGTTCAACTCGAACGACTTTCCTTAACTTTTTAACTTCAGGGAGATCTAGCTGGTGCCTTTCTGAGTTAGTCGATTCGCATACGTGGCCGTGGTACAGGCTGTCGCTCTCACGATTTCCACACCACAGAACGCATATTAGTTCAGGTAAGCTGGGCGACAAAAACACAAGTTCTGGCGGTGTGAATAGAATTTCCCCCCTACGTAGATTCTACATAGCATCTGGTTTGTTGCTTGCTTGCTTTGAAAGGGTGTGGGGAGAAGCCTCCTGGCACATGGGCCCCTGCCGGACCGCAACAGTCTCAAGGTCCGGGCCCTATTCGGGGGGTGGAGCCATCCGGTCTCTCTCTCTCTTTCTTTCGCTCT